GTAAACAGATCAGCCAATATCATAATGCCCCTATATAAATCAATGGTGCAACCTCATTTGGAATACTGTGTGCAATTCTGGTCACCACACCTTAAAAAGGATATTATAGCTTTGGAAAAAGTGCAGAAAAGGGAAACTCGAATGATAAAAGGGTTGGAACACTTTCCTTATGAGGAAAGGTTAAGGCGCTTAGGGCTCTTTAGCTTGGAGAGACGACGACTGAGGGGTGACATGATTGAGGTTTATAAGATTATGCATGGGAAAGAGCAGGTAGAGAAAGAGGTACTTTTCTCCCCTTCTCACAATATAAGAACTCGTGGGCACTCCATGAAATTGCTGAGCGGTCGGGTTAGAACGGATAAGAGGAAGTACTTCTTCACCCAAAGAGTGATTAACACTTGGAATTCACTGCCACAGGAAGTGGTGGCGGCTACAAGCATGGACGGCTTCAAAAGGGAATTAGATAAGCATATGGAGCAGAGGTCCATCAGTGGCTATTAGCCACAAGGTATAGATAGGGACTCTGGGGCAAGTGATGCTCTGTCATCTTGGTGCTTGGGGGGGGGGGTCAACAGTGGGATGGCCTCTAATGTCCTGGCCCCACTGGTGGACCTCCTGATGGCACTGGTATTTCTGGCCACTGTGTGATACAGAGTGTTGGAGTGGATGGGCCTTTGGCCTGATCCAACATTGGCATCTCTTATGTTCTTAAGCGTCCTTAGGAAGGGAATCTAATCTTATACAGGCTCTGCATCCTGCACTGTTGCTGTCCCTGCTTCATTCATTCTGACCTCCAGGTCTGTTCCCAAATTCTACAGATCCTGTGCTTTGGAACAATCTCTGTACAGATGGGCATACGTCATCACCAGGAACCAGCTCTGAGTTTCTTTACAAGGCAGCTGGGCAACTTTCCTTAAGCCTCTGCACACCAGACTTGTCAATGCAACTGTTTCTTGTTGTGGGTTTGTGGTGGGGCAGGATGAGGGCCTTAATACAGCGGTACAGAACACTACTCGGTATGCACAAAGGACCACGACTCAAAGCCCGGTCACCTTGGGCAGAATGGAGGAGAAAGACCTTTGGCCCGAAGTCACTCGCCATTGGTCAAAGGGGATGATTATGGATCAGTTGGGTCAAGTCTGATTCAATGCAAAGCAACTTTGAATGGAGGAAGTGCCCTGTCCATGGGGTAAGACACTTAACCGGCCTGGTTGATTTCAGTCGCTGCCCCAGGCAAGGGCAGGAGGTCTTCTTTGCACCCAAACTTAGAGTCATAGAGGTGGAATACTGTGTGCAGTTCTGGTCACCACACCTTAAAAAAGGATATTATAGCTTTGGGAAAAGTGCAGAAAAGGGAAACTCGAATGATAAAAGGGTTGGAACACTTTCCCTATGAGGAAAGGTTAAAGTGCTTAGGGCTCTTTAGCTTGGAGAAACAATGACTGAGGGGTGACATGATCGAGGTTTATAAGATTATGCATGGGAAAGAGCAGGTAGAGAAAGAGGTACTTTTCTCCCTTTCTCACAATACAAGAACTCGTGGGCACTCCATGAAATTGCTGAGCGGTCGGGTTAGAACGGATAAAAGGAAGTACTTCTTCACCCAAAGAGTGATGAACACATGGAATTCACTGCCACAGGAAGTGGTGGCGGCTACAAGCATGGACGGCTTCAAAAGGGAATTGGATAAGCATATGGAGCAGAGGTCCATCAGTGGCTATTAGCCACAAGGTATAGATAGGGACTCTGGGGCAAGTGATGCTCTGTTTTCTTGGTGCTTGGGGGGGTCAACAGTGGTTGGGCTTCTAATGTCCTGGTCCCACTGCTGGACCTCCTGATGGCACCTGGTATTTCTGGCCACTGTGTGATACAGAGTGTTGGACAGGATGGGCCTTTGGCCTGATCCAACATTGGTGTCTCTTATGTTCTTATGGAAGGGACCTCGAGAGTCATCTAGTCCATCCCCCTGCACAATGCAGGACATTCACACCTCCCACCCCCAACCAGGCCCATAGCTACAGTGGGGCATCTCGCCCCCCCCGACTTACTGCTGAGGCCTCCCAACTTCCCATCCAGCCAGTTCATTTTATTTTTGTGTGTGCCACAGCCATGCCACGCTGAGCCATCACCCTGCCCTGCCTGCCGGCAGTGTGCCTCTTCCTGGCTGCGGGCGAGGCGTGCCACAGGGCACTTCTGCTCCCTGCCCCAGCCCTCTCCCTCTCACGTCACTTTTAAAAAACCTTTACTCTCTTGTTGCTCCCAACACAGTGCCCCCCGACTTATTTAAATGCCCCCCAAAGTAAAAAAAAAAAATTATGGCTACGGCCCTGCCCCCAACCTTCCATGCCCAGAAGACGGCAAAACGAACAAACACACAAACAACCCTCCAGGATCCCCGGCCAAACTGGCCTGGAGAAAAAAATGGCTTCCTGACCCCAAAGTGGCGATCGGCATCTCCCTGGGCGTGTAAGATTTTTTTACTTCTCAGAGTACTTCCCCCCCAGAGCCTACTTGCCTGCTGATCTCCCCCCAAGTGTCGATGACTTTGGAATAGTCCAGCTTGGGGGCGGAGCCAGCCACCTTGGCCAGCAGCATCCAGGCGGGCGAGGAGTGCTCCGTGCCCACGTGAGAGATGACCACGTTCACAAACGTGGAGGAGAAGCGGCCTTGCTTGGACCAGACGCGGAAAGCTTTGCTCAAGTAGCGGCTGCGAAAGAGGGCAACGAGAGAGAGAGAGAAGGGGAGAGAGAGAAAACACAGCCCATTAGGACAGCTAGACCAGACTCAGGTGGATTACACCAGGGAGGGGGGCACATCTGGACCGGGGGGTCTTGTCTTCCAGCCCTCAAAGCCCCTTAACAGTTTATTGCAAGCATGAGTTTCCTGGAATGCAGCACCAGCCAGCAGCCGGACATGCCTGAAAAATTAAATTCCAGCCCGGTAGCAGCTAAGACCCAACAAAAATTTCCATCTGCATTTGATGAGGAGAGCTTGGACTCAGAAAGGCTTATCCCTTGGGGAAATGTCATCAGTCTTTAAAGCGCTACTGGACTCGGATTTTTGTCCTGCTATTGCACCGGGATGGGGCTGCCTGCCTGAAGATTTCCTGAAGATTAATGATGCACAGGCCTTGAATTGCTCAAGAGCCCTTAGCGGCGCAGCGGAAAGATGATAGCCTAGTCTCTGCTTGCTTTTTGAGGGCTGACTTTTCAGGTGCTGGAAACAGAAATAGCTGACCCTCAGCATCTAGCCTTGAAAAGTGAGCATGGAAAAACATGAGGCTGTCTTACACTGAATCAGACTTGTCAGTCCATCAAGACCGGAATTGTCATGATATTCTCTTTATATTATTAGTTTGCTTTCTAAAATATATACACACAAAAGATCAGTCTTGTCCGCTCAGACTGGCAGTGGCTCTCCTGGGTCTCAGGCAGAGGTCCTTCGCCATCACCTACTACCTAATCCCTTTCACTGGGGATGCCGGGGATGGAACCTGGGACCTTCTGCATGCCAAGCAGATGCTCTACCACTGAGCCACAGCCTCTCCATGTGCAGCAGAGACAGATGTGGCTCTTGGGCTGGAAAAAACCGCCCACCCCCAGCTATGCACAAGACGGTTCTTTAGATCTGCATTAAGACACCAGTGCCCCTTTAGGAGTTCCATGCAATAAGGAATGCATCAACAAGAGACACTGTTAAACTTGAAACACACTTCTGCTCTTTTTTGCAAGAAATCCAGAAGACGAACAGCTAAAGAGACCCTGCCCAAGGAATCTAGGGCATCAGACATGGGGCTATCCCATGTTCGTAGAATCACAGAGTTGGAAGGGATCTCCAGGGTCATCTAGTCCAACCCTCTGACCAATGCAGGAAATTCACAAATACCTCCGCCCCACACACTTAGTGACCCTTGCTCCATGCCAAGAAGACAGCAAAAAAAAAAACCCCTCCAGGATCCTTGGCCAAACTCATAACCATCTTTGAGGTAGCTTAGACTGAGACCCAGTAACTTCCAACGGAGTTGCCAGGTAGAAGAGGGATTTGAACACAGATCTCCCTGAAGATTTCCAGATCATTCAGCCCCAATGCAGTTCCCAGTCCCATGGTTACTTTGTTGAGATAACCAGAAATCTCTGCAGAGCCTTGTTTAAAAATCCAAGGGATAAAACCAATTTAAGAGACAGTCTCCATATCTGGATTTGATCACCCTCTTTTTTGGCGTGGGCTATCTGCACGACTTCAGGTGACCGCACAGCCTAGTTCTCTATGCTGAAATATCACCCCACTTTGATTCACAGATTCTCCTGTCTCACAGCCTGGAGGCGGTGTGGGGCTTGCAAGGCGTGTCTTGGATCTGGCACGCAACACAGAGACGGCAAAGCCTGCTGCCAAAGGGCCCGGAGCAGGACTCGTGCCAGCGTTGCAAACCGGGATGCGGCACGACCGGTGCATCAGCATCCTATTTCAGAAAGCGCCACACGCTGTTGACTAATAAACATAAGGTATTCTTAATTGGCATTCGTGTCCTTGTCAGTATATATATATATATATATATACGAAAAAAACTCATGGCTCCGTCCCTTCCCCTGCTTCCTACAAGCTCTGGAAAGAGACAGGATGGTATTCTTAGTCACAGACAAGCAGCATATTGTGCACCGGATTGAAGACGAACATTGCATTTGAGGGGTTGCTTCCCTCCGCCGATGTACTCCTGATGAGCGTTTGACAAGCCACTGCTCAAAATAAAAAAAAGCACCAGACTAAGGAGAGGCAAACGACAGCCCCGGAATCCAAACTGACTCCCCCGCGGCTCTCCTTTCTGCCCTCCCAGCACTGCCCAACATCCCAAAGCAACTCCCTTCTACACACCCCCACTGCTTTCCCCAAGGCGTTCCAGACCAGTGTTCCCTCTAAGCTGAGTGAGTGTGAGCTAGCTCACAGTTTTTTTAGCCTCCTGCTCAAAGGTTTTTGCCTTCGCTCAGGAAGGAGGGCTCCAGAGCAAACTCATTTACGCAGTAGCCGAATGGCTCGCTCGCCACTTTCATGCCAGGAGCTCACAAAGGGGAATTTTTGCATAGCTTAGAGGGAGCATTGGATCAAACCAGGCCAGTCTGAGAGCAACGAAGGCCCTTCCAGGGGGCTCCCCTTAGGAACCCCAGTTTCTTTCCCCCCCCATTTTTTTTTTGTTAAAATACATTTTATTTCATGCCTTCTCAAAGCACAATGCCACCAACATCAGAAAAGGCTCGTAGAAATATATAGTTTCTTGGCAGCACGTGGAAAAACATAAAAGAGCCCCCGTTTCTATGAGCAAGACAAAAAAATAAAATAAAAATAAACTCCAAGGTGAGCCAAGGGCACCGGTGTTCATAATCCCAGGAGAGGCTGTTGCCAAAGCCTCCTCCGCCGCTCTTGAGGAGAGGGCGCTGGAGAGCCCATTGCCAGCGCTGGCACAGAGGAAGCAGCGGGCCAAGTCAGCGTTGCTGGCCTCCTCCAGCCCTTGCTCTGGTCAAAGGTGGCCAACGCAAAGTGAGTTGGCAACCCAGGGGCTGCAGTAGCAATTGCCCGCAATTCAGAGTCGCGATCGCACACGCAGAGGGAGAGCGCTCTGTGCTTATTTGTGGAACGCTTTCTTAATGTCCATCACTTAATGACGCTTCTGCTAGCCGTGGCTGGGCCCTGAGCTGGCCCCATCTCGGAAGTGAAGCAGGGGCAGCCCTGGTTAGCACCTGGATGGGAGACGGACCACTGAGGAAGTCCCGGGTTGCCGGGCAGATGCCCAAACCCCCTCTCTTCCTCTCTTACTTTGAAAACCCCATGAGGAATCACCATAAGTTGGCTGTGACTTGATGGCACTTTCCGTCACCAGTCACGGCTCCTTCTTTGGAGGTTTTGAAGCAGAGGCTTGATGGCCCTCTGACAGCACTGCGGATTCTGTGAACTTGGGAAGATCGTGAGAAGGGAGGGCAGGAAGGGTTGCCTCAGGGCTTAGATCTTGTGGCCCTTCCTTACACGCCCAGGGAAATGCTGGTTGCCACCTTTGGGGGTCAGGAGGCAATTTTTGTCCAGGCCAGTTTGGCCAGGGATCTTGGAGGTTTTTTTGTCATCTTCTGGGCATGGAGCAGGGGTCACTGCCAATGTTCCCTCTAAGTTATGGAGTCCTGAGAGCAAAAATTCTACTCTGTGAGCTACTGGCATTAAAGTTGTGAACCAGCCATTTGGCTACTGCATACATTAGTTTGATCTGGAGCCCTCCTTCCTGAGCTAAGACACAAAGGTGTGAGCCAGAGGCTAAAAAACTGTGAGATAGCTCACACTAACTCAGCTTAGAGGGAACACTGGTCACTGCAGGTGTGGAGGGGGAGGTGTTTGTGAATGTCCTGCCTTGTGCAGGGGGTTGGACTAGATGACCCCAGAGGTCCCTTCCACCTCTGATACTAGCCAACAGAAATCTTGCCGGGTATCCCTCTGCCTCCTGAGATGTCGGTACACTCTGACACCTGCAAGCCTTTCGACACAAAAGCTAAAATTCTCAGAAAGTTGAATTCTGCCCCCAGTAAGGTGTGTGAGATACACACATTTATCATGGAGGATGACAGCATACCCTCACATCACAGGCCTCTCCAATCAAAGGCCAAGGCCCAATTCACACCAGGACGAGGTAGAACAGACTTCACAACTTCCGACTCAGGGTTTACACCAGGAATCCCCAGCCTTTTTGAGCCTGTGGGCACTTTTAGAATTCTGGCCTGGTGGCTGCTGCAGGAGGCGGAGCCAGCCGCAAAAGGACTGCCACAGCTTCACGTCACAGCACGAGGATCTGTGCTGTGTTACCATTGGCAGCTGCTGCCAAAGCGACATTTTTAAAAAACTGCACAGCCAATCAAATCTCTGGTCTGAAGCCCTGCTTGGCAAAAGCCCTACCTGGCCCCAGCTACTTATCACAGAATCTCAGAGAGTTGGAAGAGGCCAGACAGACCATCTAGTCCAACCCCCTCCTCAGTGCAGGATCAGCCTAGAGCGTCCCTGACAAGTGTTTGTCTGTCCAGCCGCTGCTTAAAGACCGCCAGGGAGGGGGAGCGCACCCACCTCCCTAGGTGACTGATTCCACCTTTGCACAACTCTTACTGTCAAAAAGTTTTTCCTCATATCCAGCCGGAATCTTCCCACCCATAATTTAAACCCATTACTGCGAGTCCTATCCTGGGCTGCCAACGGGAACAGCTCCCTGCCCTCCTCTAACTGACAGCCCTTCAAATACTCCCTAAAAACACTTGGCGGGCACCAGAAAAGGCGTCAGGGTGTGCCAAGGTGCCCTTGGGCATAATGCTGGAGACCCAATTGATGCTTCTGAATGCTTTCCTATGCTGAGAACTCCCTGCAAATTGCAAGCCACCGTGGCAAGCAACGGTGGGTGGGTGGGACAGAGAAAACCTTTCTCCCTGCTCAGCTAGATTTCCACCTGCAAAGCTGGAACCCTGCACTTGCAAGCCCAAAGGGGTGGAGCTCTTTCTTCCGCATCGTTCTCCTGCATACACGAACCAGGCTTGACCCAGGCACACAGGCCTCAAATTTCAGTGGGGCTTGCGTGCCAGGAATTGGAGGTGGAACTGCAGGCCAGGTCCCCAAGAAGAAAGGTCCACTCACGGCTGCATGCTACTGACCGCACCTCAGTTCTTGACTCTCTTTCGTGAGCAGGGTCAGGAGATCCCAGGCCAGGTTCTGCCCGGCCTCGTGGTGCCTGCTGTGCTTTATGGGCTCCAGCAAGAGCTGGTCGAGGCAGGCCAAGGCTTTCTCCTGCACGGAGCTCTCGCAGTCCATGACAACGGGAACGACACCTGTCAGCCAGGCCTTCTGGATCAGGACGTCATCAGGGTGAGACTGAAACAAAAGGAAGTCTGGTTAGAGTCCAGCCTCAAGACTAGGGATGTGCATTCGGCTATAGCTGGACCGAAAAAATACCCCAAAATACCTTGTTGGTATTTTTCGGGTATCATTTGAGCCAAATTCAGATCACAGTTCTGTATTCGGCTACTGGTATAGCTGAACCCGAAAAAGCCGTAATTATCCAGCTTTTTTCGGATTCATTTTGCTATATGAAAAAGGTCTCATTATACAAAAAAGGCTCAGCCGCCAGTCAGCTGTTTAAATGCCTTTCTTTTCCTCCCTGATCTCGGGGAGGGAAAGGCATTGTAAACATGCCTAGGTTCCCTGCCTGCCCTTTTCCAGCTACAATCTATCAGCTAGAGAAGGGAAAGCAGAGAGCCAGACTTTCTCCTTATTAATTTCACTCCCAGCTGACTGGCGGGGAGTGAAATTGACAGGGAAATCTGTAGGGTCTACCAGAGGGAAAGAAGGCATTCTAACATGCCTCCTTTCCCTGGGGTGGTGTAAATTGGACACGAATATATTTGGGAATACCGAATATAGCCCAATCCGAATACTTTACCAGTATTTTACTGGGGAAATTCGGCATTTACCAATATTTTTCGGGTCTGATTTACCCGAACCTGGAAAAAAACGTTTTTTTTGCACACCCCTACTCAAGACCTGAAGGACCTGCAAATGCAGAGGCCGAGCAAGCAAGCTGCTAGAATACCAATAGTGGCTGGAAAGGCACAGAGATCAGGACGGAGAAGTTATGCCTGAGCAAGAACAGTCCACGATTCAAAATCCCAAGTGTGTGGTGAACCAAGGATGAACTTTGGCTCGCAAAAGCTGCTGGAATGTGGCACAGGGTTCTCTTACATCGGACCAGGATTTCTCTTCTCAGTCCCACTGCCCATTGACCCAAGAGCAATGGAAGCCATTTCTAAACTCTATGGTTAAATACGCATGTTGGGACCCAAACTGGGGATGGCCTGTTGGCTTTTATGCCTTGCTTGGAAGCTTCTCCTGGAAACATCTTGGTGAAGGAAACAGACTGCTGACCCCAGACAGGACTCTTGGGTCTGGTCCTGTAGGGCACTCCTTCTGTCCAGGCCTGTAGCCAGGATTTTGTGACTTATGGGGCAAATTTCTGGTGGGGCTGAAGTTCTCAGTGCAGAAAGAAAAGCAATTAAGCCAATAGAAAGCTGTTACACCAGGAGAGATATCTAAACTGCAAGCTGTTGACCACTTTAGATGACAGTTCTCAGCTGCTGCAAGTTAATCACTTCTGCCAGACTAAGCAACAATTCTGATAACAACCCTGCATCTCCAGTTAAAGAGGACCAGGTAGAAGGTGATGTGAAAGACCTCAGCCTGAGACCCGGGACAGCTGCTGCCAGTCTGAGTGTAAGAAAAAGAGATTGGATTTATACCCCACCCTTCACCACCTGAAGGAGTCTCAGAGTGGCTTACAATCTCTTTTCCCCTCCCCTCCCCACAACAGACACCCTGTGATGTAGGTGGGGCTGAGAGAGCTCTCTTGAGAACTGCCCTTGAGAGAACAGCTCTGAGAGAACTTGTCACTGACCCAAGGTCACACCAGCAGCTGCATGTGGAGGAGTGGGGAATCAGACCCCGTTCTCCCAGATTAAAGTCCATGTACGTGAAAGCTTAGACCCAGAATAAAACTTTGTTGGTCTTAAAGCTGCCACTGGACTCAAACTTTGCATAACTCTTGGCTTCCTGGTGGTGTTGGTTAATATTAAGCCCAGTGTGAGCAAGACTGAGAACATTCACCTTCCCCCAGACCTTGCCTTTCTTCCTTTTTTTTTTTTAAAAAAGCAAAGGTTCTGGCCCATAGGAATTCACAGAAACACGCTCAAGACTGAGTGGGTAGCACATGCCGAGATCTCCAAGGCCAGAGGAAAACCAGAATAAATTATGTAAAACTGCAAAAAATTCCGATTAAATTATGCAAATATGCTCCATTTACATTATTTACATAGGGCAGCTGAATTTAAGCTTTTCTTAGCACGGAATTAGGATCACTGGGACACACAGTCCCACATCCACCCACCCACCCACCGTCTAACAGTAAAGAAACAGAGTCCGTCTCCCTCGCTCACCATTAAGAGGTCCGTAATGGACTGCAGGGCTTGCTTCCTTACAGACACGGCAGGATCACGGCACCGATCCTGGAGTGTGGCCAAGTCTTCCGGGGAGCAGGGGATCACGCTGTGTTTCAAGATGCTCATGAGCACCTAGGGAAGAGACAAGGCGTGGGACAAACACCGTGAACAACACAGCAGCAAAAACCACATTATATGCCATCTGGCAGAAGACTGACCCAAGCGCACCTGTCCTCCACAAGGGATCGGTGAGGTTCAGCTGAAAAACCAAATCTTGGAATTAAACTTTCAAGTGCAATATGTGCAAGTTAACAAAGGATAACAGGATTTGTACAGTCTGCAACCATTCTAAGCGCTCAACTGGAAAACGAAGTTTCCCCTTATCATGCACAACTTCTGGAAAGTGGCAAGCCAGGAGAAGGAGAATATTTCAAGTATCACATCCAAAGCGCTGCAAATATTTAGGGTGTGCCACCAAGTTGCTTCCAACTTATGGCAACCCAATGAATTAACATTCCCCAAAACATCCTATTGCTAGCAGCCTTGATCGGGTCTTCTAAACAGAGGGCTGTGGCTTCCTTGATTGAGTGAGTCCATCTCACGTTGGGTCTTCCTCTTTTCCTGCTGCCTTCAACTTTCCCTAGCATGATTGTCTTTCCCAGTGACCCCTGTCTTCTCAGAATGGGATGGGACCAAAGGATGACAGCCTCGGCTGCGAAACGTTAGGGGTGAGAAGGACGTTAAGAACAGCTGGGATATTCTACATCAGGGGTGTCGAACTAATTTGTTACGAGGGCCAGATCTGACATAAATGAGACCTTGTTGGGCCAGGTCATGTGTGCCATAAAATGTAATGCCAGGTAGTGGAGATATAAACTTTATAAAGGACACAAACACAAGGGGTTTTCTTTTAACTTAAAATAAAAACATGCTTAAAACATTAGCACTTTTGCAATATTTTGTTTATCTAACAGTGTCTGATAACTGACACCTCTTGCTCTGAATTATTGCATCAAAATGTCTGTGCTGCTGTAACCTTGAGTATGCTGTTCAGGTGTGTATCTGTAAGCTGCAAACCTACGATGACGCAGCAGCAGCAGAACTGGAAGAAGAAACAGAAGACAGCCAGTTCCACTGCGGGCCTGATAGAAGCCCTCCGGGGGCCTCATCTGGCCCCCGGGCCGCATGTTTGACACCCCTGTTCTACATCTAGCAGGGACGTAACATCCCAAAACTGCCTCCCTGTACCGAGTGACCCCTCCCCACCAATGCTCCCTCTAAGCTGTGGAGTCTTGTGAGCAAAAATTCTACTTTGTGAGCTACTGGCATTAAAGTTGTGAGCGAGCGATTTGGCTGCTGCAGAAACTAGTTTGCTCCGGAGCCATCCTTCCTGAGCCAAGACAAAAATGGGTGAGTTGGAGGCTAAAAAACGGTGAGCCAGCTCACACTCACTCAGCTTAGAGGGAACACTGCTCCCCACTCCTGGAAGATACCGTCAAAGGTGTCAAGCATGCCATGGATGATCCACGGGGTAAGCATGGCAGACAGGATGGGGGCGACTTGCTACAAGGAGGATGTTTGTGGCAGCATCCCCCAGGTGGAAGGTAATATGCGTAAGCACCAAGAAGCATTCATCTTAATGACTCATTTCTTCTCGGCAGCCGCTTGATACCCTGAAAAGGTCAGCGACGGCAATCATCCCCTTAAGTGGCACTCCACACACACACCCCAACAATATACATAAACTCAGAATGCTGGGATTGCTGCAAAACTTTGATTCAGTCAGACCCAAATTAGCTGCAAACGACCATCACCGGTGTGTGTGCATGAAGGGGGGGTGGTTAGCAATGTTCCCTCTAAGCTGTGGAGTCTTGTGAGCAAAAAATTCTTCTTTGTGAGCTACTGTCATTAAAGTTGTGAGCGAGCCATTTTGGTTACTGCACAGATTAGTTTGCTCTGGAGCCCTCCTTCCTGAGCTAAGACAAAAATGTGGCAGCCGGAGGCTAAAAAACTGTGAGCTGATCAAGACTTTTTGAAGAGACACGCCAGCTCAGAGGAGGCAGCACTTGCCAGATGG